CTTTTATGCTGGATTACGTTTTTGAAACCAGCATATTGTGAATCTACATATCGCTTCAGAATGCCAAGAACTGGCTGAGAAACGCTGCGCCTGCACTCTGGGAAGTGCTGAGAGTGCATTAGCTCCCTTGGCTGCTTCAGATGTGTCCAAAATGTTTTATACAACCAGGCTTTCTGCCTCTGCCAGCCAGACCTCGAGTCTGGATTGTGCTGGATCAGGTCTTGCGTGTCCTCCTCGCAGCAGGAAGCCAGCACATGCTCTGTACCCATGTCACTATAAGTGGTCCAGAGCTTCGAGATTATTTCAGAGGGGCTTCAGCGCCTCGGAGCTGATTGGGAAGGTGTTGGTGAAACAATACGCAGCTCTAGGAGTTGTGCATTTGAGTGTGAAGCCTGAGGGAAGGAAAAAGCTTCAAACTGTAATTGCAGAGGTGAAATTAAGCTGTGAGCTGGTCTCACGCCTTTTGTGTGGTGTGATTGCTATGGAGAACACGGCCCCCCCACAAGCAGTTACAGGGAAGGACAAGTGCAGGAGGTGGCCGCTTGCTGAGCAGCCAGGATTGAGCGTGCTGGGTTGTTTTCCCTGGAGAAAAGCAGCCCTGGATGAGTGGTGCCAGTGGTGTGCTGCCCCACCCCTCATTGTACACACTGCTGTTCCTTTGCTCAGTGGGAAATGGACTTAAACCCAGCACCGCCCATTCCAGATAACTCTTTTCTTTTAGACACGGGACCAAGCTGCCCACTCTAACGTCCTCATTTATAGTTGGGAATTTGCCTCAGGATCAGGCCTCCCATGCCTTGCTTTTGGAGGTTCCAGGCAGTTGATGCTGGAAGCGTTTCCTGCAGTTGCTGTGTTGAGCTGATGTAAAATGCATGCTTGAAACCTTGCAGGTGCTTCTTAGCCCACGGTACCTGCTCCTGTGACACAGCACAGATTGCTCAAAAAGAGCTCCGAGGCTGGAACAAGGAGTAGCTTGTATAAACCAGCATTGGTTTCACACAGACACATGGTCAAGTAAGAAGTTGCCTCTCAGGCATAAAACTGTAACAAAAATATTGCAGGACATGACATTGTCACGGTAATAAATAGCCCAAAATAGATCAGATGCCACAGGCTGGCTTGAAATAATAATTTTGAGGAAAAATCCACTACTGCTTATGGGTTTAAAACCTGACGCCACTCTGCCTCTAGAGAAAGCTTTTTTTGTGATTTCTATTTCATCCATTGCGGAAAACAAAGCTACAAAAATGTCTGGTTTATATTATCCTCAAACAGAAAGATTTATAGTATTTGCAGTCCAGAATCACTTCTTCTTCCTGTGGATTCGTCTCTTTGATTCCATCCCACAAAGCCCGAATTCCTTACAGGGTGTCTCTGTACCTTTTCCTGGCTGTAGCTACATGGAATACAGCAGATGGATGTGGGATGTGTCAGGAGCCAGGTGCGTGGTAGCAGAGGCTCACCCTGTCCTGGAGAGGGGCTTGCACCGAGATCCTGCAGTTCTCAAATGAAGCTGGAGTGCAAGGCAGCCTTCTCCTTGCTGAGTCCCCACTTTCAGCTCCATGCTCTCCTTGAGGAGAAGGAAATGAAACCAAAGAGGCATCTGACTTTATCAGTTTTTATTGTCATGTCATTTTATGGTAAGTCATTTAATCACAATGAAGCAAAGGCTTCAACTGTTACACCTGCCCGAGTGTTCCCGCTTACACTGCCCTGTTTTGATAGTGTTACTTTATTGTTTGTGCAGAAGAAAGCTGTAACTTCATTCCCTCCTAATTGCTTCTCCTAGTAGTTACTTAATTTTTGGAATGTATCCAACTTCAGGAGTTCTTCTGAACTTGTCCGAGATCAAAATTGAAACCCAAATGATGGAGCTTAGTTTGCCATCACGAATTTGAATGATTCTTATCTTGGTTTCTGGGAGGTGCTCTCGTAGACTTCACCTATGAGTTCAGATAAAACATTTAGAGTTCTTGACGTTCCAGTCTGTAAAGAATTTTTGAAAACAAGATTTAGTCAAGAACTGAGACTCCTATTTAAATCCTGTCATGGGACTTAATTTCAATCCCTGAGAACACCTCTGTAGAGGGAAACATTTCACCTAATGAGATGACTTAATTGGGAATTTATTTGATTTATAAATATTACAGTGCAAGTTATTTGTGTGCAAAGCAGAGGCTTCTGTCCTGCTTTGCTCCGGGTGAGTACAGCCTTTTGCTGAGAAAGCTTGTAAATAAATGCTGCTTTAGAGCTGACAAGGGAAAATGCATCCAGGATAAATTTGGCAACATGTTCCAAAAGTGCATCAACCAGGCTGTGCTAAGTACAGTCAGAAGCTCTTTTTTTCAGTGTGATAGAGCCCATATGCAAGTATGTGAGAAAACCAGAACACATCAGGGCCTTAAAAGGGGATCGGTCACATTAGGTCTGTTTATTCACGCGTTTGCGTATGGGCTGTGAGAGCATCTGCTGGGACCACGTCTCCTTCCTGCTTTCCTGTGTTCTTGGCCACTACATTGCAGTGTCTGAATGCTTCACAGGTTTCAGAGAGAAGAAATAATGTTATCTCTGTCTCCCCTAAGCCCAGCTCGCTGACAGGAGCAGCCTGTTTGGCTCATTCCTTTTGGGATGTGCGTACACAGGTACCCACACACACACGGCATCTAACCTGGGCTTGGTGAGGGCCCTGGGTGTCACTGGCAGGGAAGCCTTTGGTGGCTCTTCTCTCTGCTCAGGTCCAGGTCCCATCTGCAGGAGCCTTCAAGTCTGGCCAGTCCATCTGTGTTGATGCATCTATAGTTGAAGGTTGGATGACGCTGGTTGTCACAAGTAGTGTTGGTTACACCTGTGGGGAGCAGTGTGGGGTTGTGGATGTTTCCTACCAGAACAACTCTCCCCTTTTGTGTTAGGGAGGTATGTGGTGAGGGGGAGCACTATGTGGTCGATTTAGGGGTAAAACTTGTGGGATTTGGGAGCTACCAAACAGCTCAGCCCACGATGCCCACTTTCGCTTGGGTTTGTCTTTTCTCCCGCAGCATCCCCATCCATGCCTTCCCACTCCGCTTTGATCACGGTAGTTTTCTGAGGAAAACAGTCTTGACAGGACACTGATGCTGTGCTCTGTGCAGCACACAGGGTGCTTGACTCTGCACACTCAGGAAGATCCTACTTCCCTTGCCTTTCCCGGGAGAGCACACAGGTTCCCCACAGCTGCCTGGCAGAGCTGTGGCACAGCCGGTGCTGTGTGGCACAGCCGGGCTGGCAGCTCGGACCGATCGGTCGGGAGCCCTGCTGCCGGCACTGCTGCTCTGTGACCTGGAGTTCTCCCTCCTCCCTCAGCCCTTGACCCACTCCCAGCCCCAGCTCCTTGGACTGCTGTTTAATGGAACTTTCTCACGGCTCTGTGTTACGCTGCTTCAATTATGGAACTGGCTCCGTTTCTTTTTCCTTGTGCAGTTCAGAGTTTGCTGGAGTCTCTTCCTGATTGCAAAAGCCGTTGGAAATGGGCAGAATCGTAAAAAGCTTATCAGTGAGCAGTAACTCTCCCCTCTGGCTCCCCAGCTCTGTTACGCAGTTATTCACTCCGGCGAGTTGTAACTCCGCGCAACATCTCGTGTTGCCACATCAGTCCTTCTTTATTTACGCCAAACACCACTTTCCCTCTGTGCTCCCCTCCGTGTTCCAAGTCTCCCAGCTCTGCAGCTGAGCAGCCGGGCGGTGGCAGCACTCCATCTCCTGGGGGAGCCGGCCTCCGCCTGGAGTAGCGCTGGCCACGCTAACTCCGAGCTTACTCGCTGCTTTGCACTGCCTGCAAGATGCAGCGCAAATGTTTGGTGCTGCAACCAGAGACCTGCAGGAGGAATTCACGTTGTGGTGAGCAGAACAGATGCTGGCAGATGGGCGCAGCCATTAGAAAGTCCGGGATCCCTGCTAGTACTAAATTGATCTTGTTCTTTCCGAGTAGCAGCACAGAATATTTCTGTGAGCTGGATCTGCCGGTGCTTTGCAGGCAGAGCGGAGTTGCTGCTGGCCGTGCGTGACTCTTATTGACACATAACATCATTTCTAAAAATGTTTGGCACTGATCTAATCATCAGCCCAGAGAGGCCAATTACTCAAGCAGTTCATGTTTTTTCACTGGAGCATGTTCTGTCAGACCCTGTAAATAGGAGCCCAGTAATTTAAAACATTTTTTTTTTTTTTTAGATTTGTTTCTAAAATGTTGCAGCTGCAGTCACAAGGATGTGGATCTAGACAAGAAGTGTCTAGAAAACCCCTTTACCTTCCAACAAGGAGCTGGTAAACCAGGCTTAACCAAAAGCACATCTATTTTCAGAGGCCCTAAAATTATTTCTCTCCTTTCTTCTCTCCAGTCCATGTGTGTCTTCCATGGGATAGTGGTCTTGCTGCAGTGCTTCACCAACAGGAGTCTGCCAGTTTTCCCCTGACAACTCAAGGGAAGATTTTCTTGTTTCACGTGACTTTTTTTTTTTCTTTTTAATTTCTGCAACTCCCATTTCACGGTATTTGGAAAATTCCTGGAGGCTGAAATAGTTTCCCTGTGCAAATTGGTAAAGGATGTTTTCTTGCTAGATTTTGGCCCACAGAAATCCTGTGATAATCTGAGAAGGGCAGAAAAGACCAAGTCAAGGGAGGTGGTGCTTGGAGTCTAATCACTAAACTCCTGCGGATTAGAGCCGGGGCATTGTGCCAAGGCGACCCACGCTCTATTCCTGGCCCTTTAAACCCCCAGCTCCTTCGGATACACATTTCAGGGAAGCCTTGCTGATCGGTTTTCCAACCCTCTGGAGCTAAAAAAGCATGGCTGTTAACTGTGATAAACCTATTCCAGGCTGGCAAGGTGAAGTTGCTGGGAGTGTGGGAGCCATTCCCACTGCTGTGGTTGCTCAGCACTGGCAGGGTGATGCTTGGGAGGATGCTCTGCTGTTGTGAGGAGGATGAGCAGGCATTCTCACAGAGGGATGGCAACTGGTGGATTCTCAGCACTGCATCCCTTGCAGGCAGTGGAAATTGCTCCCTTCCTTTCCCATTCTCTGTTCTACCACACTGTTGCTTCTCAGTTACTCCATGCCTGGGCTGATGCTGCCTAGGCTGGAGAAGCTGGCCTTGGGACACTGTTTTTAGTCAGGGCTGTGGGACACACAGGTGTCAGGTTACACACCTGCACACCTGTGGGTGCTCAAGGAATGGAGCTGAATGCCAGGATAAGTACAGACTTTATAGAGGAATAAAGCTCCTGTGCTTTGTGTTTGGTCTGGAAATCCAGTCCCATCTGTTCCAGATGTTTCCAGCTCAGTTTATAGCAAGGAGCTACTGTGCTGCTTTGCAGGAAAAAAATAATAAAACAAATGTGGGGTTATGCCTTCACAACCATTGCAAAATAGGCAAGGGTATCCATGGAATATGTTCCCTTCTGTTGCCTTAGAAAAGATTTGTAAATAGTCTTAAATAATTTAATGGAGGGCTGGAGCTTTCAGGGCAGGCTGGTGTGTGCCTGAGTTCTGGCTTGGTGTGCTGTGCTGGCAAGGAGCACGTCCCACCCCTCTGCACCCAGCAGCAGCTGCTTGGGGAATGGCACCTTTCCTAGCTCAGGGAAATTTCTGCTTCAAATCCTCTGGCTCCTGGAATTCAGTCAGAAACAGCCTGTGTGAAGGAGGAGCTGGCTTTGGACTAGACCTAAGCTTGGGAGTCAATGCTCACGTACATTTCCGGGTACAGTGCTTTATTTTTTACTGCCATCCGATAATCCAAATGAAAAACGTCTATTTCCATATGCTTTGGTACTGTGTTTGAATCTGACCTACTTCATTGTATTTATCTGTGCCATGTTTGAGACTTGTTTTGAGAGCTGAGCTGTGGACTAAGAGTGAGGCTGAGACCAGGGGTGGGTTAGTAAAGGTGTGCTTGATGTGGAGGAAAACTTGGCAGAGGCAGGAGAGTGGCTACTGAGGTGCTGCTTTCATGAAATAGGACTCTGATACTTCCTTTTGTGGCTGAGTCTTATTTTTTATTTTCTAGTTATATAGCTAGGCATTGGCATGCAAGGTAGACACCCTAAGGCATTCTGAATTCTTGGTGTTCATCTGTTGAGTATTTATACTCTCCTGAATTTGAATATTCCTTTAAGACAATCTACAAGTGTTTGCTGCTACTGCCCTCAGAGGATCTTGAATGGAAGCACTATGGATGGGAAGAAGTTTTGAAGGCCTTGTGTCTCACTCTGAACTGAGTTTATCCCTATTCCCCTGAGGGAATATAAGGAAAAGGTGGTGTTTTTTCCCTGATTTTTGGTATGAAAACAGGTTACCAGCTTGGTCCCAGTTGTATTAAGATAGAAAGCTCCCATGGCGACTGCCCAGTAGTGAGCAGCAAATGTGTACTTAGCCTCTAAGGAGATTATTTAACACAGTTCCAATTTTGTTTTTTATTATTATTTTATTATTTTTGTGTTTGCTTGTCGAGAGTGGATTTGCAGAGGTACCCTCGGAAGGCAGGCAGGGTCTGATTTTGAGGGGGGAACCCAGCAGCAGGAGTTCTGGGCAGCTCTGCAGAGGCACGACAATGGCAGAAGTGGAATTAGGAGTCTCTGCTGTCCACAGAGGCACAGCAGAGGTGGAGAGAAAAGGGGAGGGGAAGGACAGCAGCCACTAAAACCCTTCTCCAAGTGGATGAATGAATGGGTGACACACATAAATGACTGCTGTGATGATCTGACTTACTGTAGCTCGGTCTCGGGATAATCCTCATATGTCAGATTTCTGTAAGGCCAGCATGTGACACAAAGCCGGGCTCCCAGCAGACAAGTGTGCTGTGCTGCTCTTAGGGACTGGCTGGAGCGGGGCTGTGTCCGTGTGGGGTGTGCCTGCTCACCTCCCTGCACTGCCAGGGCAACACCAAAGGCAGCCTGCAATCCCACAAACTCTTGGCCCTTGCATAGACAGCCCCAAGCCTGCCTCTGTGACTGTACTTCTTGGAAAAAAGAGAAGGGGGGGGGGGAAGCCAGACACAAGAAACAGGAAAGCCCCCAAAGACTTGTAGCTGGGATTACCTTGTTCACACCTGTCACCACTGATGTCCTCTCAAGGTCAGAACTGGAGCTGCGTGAGGCCAGCTTAAAGCAAACGCCATGTGAAAGGAGCTCTATGAAGGACCAGCAGGCACTGGAAGGAGGACAGGAGTGCCCACAGGAACATGAGCAACAGCTTGCAAGTTAACCTGCCCAGGACTTGGGCTGGTTCAAACAGCTCGCTCCAGGAGAAGTCTGAGCATTCCTTTTTTCTTTTCTATTACTATAGGATGGAGGACGAGGCAGTACTGGATAGAGGGGCTTCCTTCCTTAAACATGTATGTGATGAAGAAGAAGTGGAAGGTAAGAGACTTGGACTGCTGGGGAGGAAGGGTGCCTTGGCTTTGGTGTTTGTATGTAGGATGGAGGGCACAGAAGCAGGGTGCCTGTGGTTTGCCCAGTACTTCATCCTAAAATTGACTGAAATGTGGGTAGGCTTGTTTGGGGTGGAAGTGACTTTTAGAGAAATCCTCTATTTCAGTTGAGGAGTGAACGTTGTTCCCTGCTCCCGGCACGCGCTTCCACTTCCCCCAAAGTCCTGTTTGCTGTGTCTTGCATAATGGCTGTGAAACACCAGAGCTCTTTGCTTTGCTTTCCTCGATGAATGGAGTTTTGCAATGCTTGCCTATCACCGCTGCAGCAGTGAGCATGGAAGTGTGGAGGCAGGTGGAGAAGCCAGGTGGAAAAACCAGCAGAATTTGTACCAAGCGTCAGGGTGGACTTAAGGCGGGAAGTGAACATTTCCCTGCGTTGTCCTTTGTGCTTGGGAGGCATAAAGAGAAGGGGTTTCCCCTGAAGGAGAACTTTTTAACAGAGAAAACAGTTTCCTCACTTCATAGGGAAAGAGTAAGTGTTTTTGGAAGATTTTTGTTTTCCCTCTAACTAAAAATGTTGTGAAATCCCAAAGGTAAAAGGAATTTAAAGGAGTTTACTGCAAGTTTCTTCCTGGAAAATGATGAGGCTGATAGGAGTGACTTAATAGCAGCAAATTCTCGTTTTCTCATTTTCTGAGGATTGGTTCTCTGTGGGCTTGATAAACTAGAAGGGGAGAAGGAGCAGATGAGGATAAGGTAGGACTTTACCTAGAAGGGAGAGGATTTCACCTTGCAGCACTGTCCTTCTCCTCCTGACTTCAAGATACAATTTTATTCTAACTTCTTTATTTGCAAACAAATGCCTGTGGCTTTTCAATTGAAAATGTTTTGAAAGGTGTAGGGTTACAGCCGTGTCATTGTCACCAGTAATGGACAGAAAAGAATCCAGCAGTAGGAGAGAAAATAGTCTCTAAAAAGAGGAGTTAGGACACTTCCAGCAAACCAAGCCAGTCCTTTCCACGAAAAAGCCTGTGTTTTCTTCCTCTCTGGGGTGAAGTAATCTGTGCTCAGCCACTGTAAATCATCATATTGGGTTTAATGAGGCTATTTGCTGTCTGCAGGGTCAGGTTTGTATTGGCCTTTTGCTTGTGGAATAATTGCCACTTTGGCACAGCAGAAACATTTGAGAAGGGAGAGGAGAGGATATTTTTTATGTTTTACTGTCTTAAATGTTGCCACATGCTGTTTTGATGTGCAACGGCCCCGTGTGATGCTCCAGGAATATAATGCAAGTGGTTGTTGGTGATGAGTGCAGGAGGGTCCTTCTGACTGTCTGCAGGGGATGTGGTTATGCTTGAAGGAACGCTTGTGGCTGTGGCGTGTTTATATCCTTTCTTCCCATGTGGATATCCTCATCTGCTTTAGCTGGGCTCACAGACCAATTGCAGCTCCTCTGGCTGGGGAAATGAGGAGAGGAGGTGAAACAAGTGCTTCTAATTGTACACGACAGGCCTCTGGAGCTGGAGCTGCTCGGCTGAGCCTCCGCAGAGCCGCGGGGCTGTGCAGCCAGCTCATTCCCTCGGTGGTGCTAAAGGCAGCGCCGTGACTCCTGCCGGGCTCCTGCCAGCAGCCCAGCTCCATCGCCCAGGGATCCAGGGCCGTGGCATCTGTCGGGGTCACGGGGCACGGATGGTGTGTGGATGGCGGGGTCAGGGAGCCGCTCCGTCTGCACAGGGGGACAGCCTGCAGTTCTCGGCGTGCCTGGCAAATCTGGGGCGCTGCCACGGTGCCAGTAAGCATTAAAGGCTTTGGCACTCTGAAGACATCTTGTTTGTCTCCATGCTTCCAGCCTGAGTGATTCTGCAGTTCTCTGTGTGTCCTCAGCTGTATCTATCTCTCCACAGTGGTCTGTGCATGTAAAGTGTGTGTGTTTCCAATGTGCACCCCGGGTGCAGTCGTGGTCTGCATGTGTGGGATGAGCTGTAATGGATGGTTGGAACTGGTCTTCAAACCATTCCAGCCCCCTGCCACAGGCAGGAACACCTTCCACTAGCCCAGGTTTGCTCCAAGGCCTGTCCAACAGTTCCAGGAATGGGGTAGCCACAGCTTCTCTGGGCACCCTGTGCCAGAGCTTCCCCACCCTCAGAGGGAAGAATTTCCTCTCAGTATCTAATCTAAACCTTCTGTCAGTTTAAGATCCAGTGGAAGGACTAAAATGTCAGGTTGCAGACCTTTGGCTGGCACTTGGTGTAGATGCTTTTAAGTCCCTTTTAGATTCCTGCACTTATAGTGGGGTGTTTTAAAGGAGGTAAGCATCTGTCAAAAGACTTAATTTCACTAAAAGTGAGCGGAGAGGAGATGGCTTCTTTTCCTTCTAAGAGGGGAAGGGGAGTTGTAACCTTTATCAGAAGAGATAGGCTAGTAGAACTCAGGGATTCCCTGGCACAGGAGTTAGCAGGAGAGAATGTGAAAACTCCCCAGCAGATCTTTATAACATGCCTCAGAACCAGGCTGTTTTTGCTACTTCGTAAGTTGCTTTGAGTTCAAAGAGGCCAAGTCAGAATTTTGAAGGTGTCACTTTGAGCATCCCTCTTTGGGGTGTTCTTTGGGAGAGGAGAGGAACATCATGCACTTTGTCAGTGATGCCCACAGGTTGTGTGTGTGGGATGGAGATAGCAACTGCACAACCACACCACCCACTAATTTGGTTATGTAGTGGTTTGGGAGAGAGGGAAGGACTTGGCTTTTTAAGGAGGGGAAAAAATGGGCATTTCTGGTCAGGAAGGCGTTGAGACATTTTCAGGGTGGGATAATTGTCCCTTATGCCCTCACTGAGTAAATGTAACATTAACAGAAACCAGGCATACCTGACAGAAATATGTCCCTTGGGCCTGCTTCCAGGGATTGTTTAGCCCGTCTCTCGGGTGCCACCTCAGCCTGCTCCTACACTGGAATGTATCGCCGTGATATCAGCTGTTGACATTTGAAAATTACTCCACTCCAGCTCCTCCCTGCTGCCTGGATCCACGAGAGGGCTAGGTGATGGATTCAGTACGTGTTACTTAGGAGGAGTTGCTTGGCTGGAAGTGCCCAGAAACGTGACCTGGCGAGACAAGGGATCTGCCCAGGTCTAGGGCACAACATGAAGCAAAGCAAGTACAAGTCAGTCAGCTTTCCTGGGGGAAATCAGGAAGAGGCACTGCCCTGAGCTGGGCCAGAGGACCCTTCCCATTCATTTAGAGCACTGCATGTTCCTTTCCTTGAAGGCAAGGCCGTGCTGCTGTAATGCCCCTGTCAGGAGTGCTGGTATGTGTGACATAAACAGATTATTTAAGAAGTGATTTTGCAAGAGGGGAAAAGTAAAGCTCCACCTTATCCTGCGAGATAAGGTATTCTTGGCTGTCCAGGCGGAACTTCCCCCGGGCTCGCTGCCACCCTGGCTCCCTGCTGGGGTGGAGGATGCTGGATTTCAAGTCTGACAATTCCACTGCAGAGCCCAAGGAGTTGGCCAGCTCCGTGTGTTAGGAAATGGGGAGCAGCACACCTGTCCTGCCTTCCAAATGATGGGCAAAGTAGAGGTCTCCATAGCACCTCTCAGCACTGCTCTGGGAGCAAATTCAGGAGAATATGCTGTTAGGGGAAACTCTTCCTGGGCCCTGTTAGCCTTGTGGCATTTTACTGCTGCACTGCTAGCTCTGCAGGGAGGCCAACCCAGGGATTTTGTAACAATGTTCCATAACTACTTGTTCTGTTTTAGCACTTTCCTCCTCCTCCTTGCTTTCTATTCTGGACGTGATTGTGTCATTGCACTTTGGTGGTAGAAAGCTGTGTGATGCCATAAGCCCAAGATTAGTCCTTGGTGGTTGGATCAATGAGGAGAGAGGTTAAAAGGGCAGAGATGTGAACTGTGAACATCTTTACCTGCATTAACAGCAGGCTGTCGATGGGAGAAATGAGCTGTATTTGCCCATATACTTTGATTTCTTTTTCTCCTCTCATCCCTGCTGTCTGTTTTTGATCCGTGACTGTAGGCAGACCCTCCTCCATTTTCAGGAGTAACCAGATGACCTGTTTCATATCAAACTCTTTAATTGCTTCTGAAATAAATGTGATTAAAAATTAATCAGGTAAAATCTGATCGCAGAATGTGCTCATCAATATTCTTTGGTACCTTTAATTAACGTGCAGAGGCAAACCAGGCTGTGTTTTGCTTCAGTAAAACTGAACTGGGCTTTACTCCTGCAAAAGCCAAACTCAGAGGATTCAGGCAGTGCCTTAGTGCTCTCTTTCCACACAGCAGCTGGCACAGCTTCCCTGTGAGGCTGGTGAGGAGGTTGCCCAGAGAAGCTGCAAGTGTCCCTGGATCCCTGGAAGTGTCCAAGGCCAGGTTGGGCAGGGCCTGGAGCAACCTGGGATAGTTGAAGGTGTCTCTGCCCACAGCAGGGCCTGGAACTGGATGAGCTTTAAGGTCCCTTCTGACCCAAACCATGCCGTGATTCTGTGATCTTGGGAATGGCAGCTGGAGTTTGGAACCCAGTGCTGCTCCACACAGCAAAGTAAAAATAAGACAGGTGATTTAGATGTCCCCAGCTTCGAAACACAGTGATGAAAGATTCCAGATCTCCAGGTTGTTTCCTTTCCATCTTTATTTCCCCATGACACTTTTCAGAAGAGTGCTTGCTCTTGGCAGCATCTGGCAGGTCATTGTGTGGAATTTCGTTCCGGTCACTGCCTCTGTCTTTGCTCTGCTGTCAGGAATCAGCATGAGCTCTGGGGTTGCTGGGTGGGATGAGGAGGTTTTTGGTGCCCGCCTACTTCATGCTCAGTGAGAAAAGCTGCAGTGTGAGTTCAGAGGGTGATAAACTGGCTTTACATAAGGCAGCGATAAGCTGGCTGTGCAGGCAGGAGAAGTGGAGAAAACTGAGTAAGAGCAGCTGAGTCAATAGCTGGCGTGGTCGGCCCATGGTGAAGGAAAGGTGGTGGTTTCTT